CTACAATAAGGCTACCAACAAAGAAAGGAGTGGCCCACAACACAAGCTTAGTCTATCTCTTTTGGGCTTCTATGTTTTAATGATCCAAAAATTAAAATTATATTAATGGTTGAAAACAATTTCCTTTATTTTTTTTTTGCAATTTTCAGTTAGCACAGATATAATTAAAAATAAAATATATAGAAAAAAAATTCCTTTATTTATTCTCACTTTTTTTATATTTTTGGAATACCAAGATTCTTTGAAAAAAATTCCTTCCAAGATTTGATTTTAATCTATCATAAATGATTTAGATAAATTCTAGAAAGTCTATTTTGACTTATTATACTATATTAGAAATATTTTAATAACATATTTTCGAACACGCTTCTTTGGCCCACTGGTGTTTTAATTATGAATTTTGTAAATCTCTTTTTGATTCAATAATTTTTATTTATGATTTTATAATTTTAATAATTAATAAAAATAATGGCAATAAAATCGTATAAAAAAAAATCAACTGTTATATTTAGAAGTTTGATAAACAATTTACATGAGTTTGTGAAACTTATTTATAATTTTTATGAGTTTTTAAATATAATTGATAAAAGTTAAAAAAAATAGAATTTTTAAATATTATATTAAATGAAACTTACATTCTTGTAATTTTAAATAAATAATAATACTGTTTTTGAATAAAATATTTTTTATGTTTTATACATTTTGTTAAATAGACACTTATTTTTATTATGTTTTTAAGAAATTTTATTTATGCTGCATATTTATTTAGTTTTATGTAAATAGTTAATATAATATTTTGAAATAAATTGAGAGAAGAGACTCCCACTCACTAAAAATATAAAAGTAACAAATATTGTGTGTTAAAAATTTAAAAGTGACAAGTAAAAATATTTAAAAAAAAACTAAATGTTTATTTCAAAATTAAGAAGGATATATCATCACCTATTCGAAATAAATGCAATGCACACCTTATGATTTGTCTGTACGAATACTTCTAACTTGTTTTAATAAATTTCAGGTGAAAATCATGATAGCTATTTGAATAAAAATTTAATTACTTATTAAATTTTAAGGAAGAGAAAAAAATTAAAAATAAAACACAGTTTTAACCATTTTTATGCAAACACCTTTATAGTTAAAGAGTGAAAATTATAAATAAATGTCCCTGAAATCGTATAATATATCATGGTAAACCCAGAATACCCCTGGACTCTCAGCAACCGTTGGATTAAAAAGTCTTTGTTATTACAGTGATCATCATTCATTTGTGCATGTCAATCGGTATCAGCATCACCTTCCTAAATTCAACTACCCGTTCCCTTCTCTTTCTTCTTCCTTGAAACCCTAATAAACTCCTTCACTGCTCTGCACTTCCTTTTCGATTCCGCTTCCGGTAACACAAACTCTTCTTCCCAGATCTGAAATTAGCCGTTTCTTTCTTTGTCTCCAATGATTTTACGTTTCTTAAGCATGTGACTCGACTCCTTTTCCGAATTCCAATCCACGCTTAATTGTTCAGTTTTTTTACGTTGTATTCCATCTTCATATGGTTCACTTTAGTTTGAAATTGAAAATCACGAGGTTCAATTGACGAATATCATTATCCTGAAATGCTTTTAGCTAGATTTTAGTTAGGGACCTGACTGAATCTTTGAGAAGTGTTGGAAGTGTTTCCTAAGGTTTGCGGGATAGTTTTTTTAGGAAGTTTCCCTGTGCAAGTAAAGTTCCAGAAAACTGTTATGCCAAATGTGTGTGGATTTGATTTTAGCCATTACTTGTTTATGTATACATTTTCTCTCTTCCACCCAGTAGCATGCTGTTATTATCGATCTTATTGTTGAGTACAAAAGAATGATTAAATGAATAGGCAACATATCAAGAATAAACATTATTTGAATTTTTTGTCCTGTGCAGCTTCGACCAGTAAGATACCGTTGGGCCGGGGCCATCTAATGATAGAACTTCCAATTTTTACATAAATTGCTGTTGCTATTTTAGTAATCAAATGGATTCAGTGCCTGTTAATGTGTCTAATTCACATCCTATCAAAGATCCACCCACTTCTTCTCCTGCTAAAGAGCGTGATGGGCAAGCTTCTGCTGCTTCAGTTTCTGAGCAAGATAATTCAGCACATGAGACACCTTCTATGCCATCCCCACCAGGCATATCGTCTTGGGCCAAAAGCTTGAAAATTTCTCAGTCATTTTCTCGCTCCCAAGATGACTCATCAGGTGGAAATGTTGAGAAATCAACTTTTGCACGTTTCACTAGTAATCTGGGATTGAGGCTGTCTCCAAAGTCTCCTGTATCAGATGACAGTTCCAATGAAACTGCTGTACAATCTAATTTGTTTGGAAGCATTACGAAAGGCCTGGTTGACACTTCTAAGAATGCTGTGAAAGCTGTGCAGGTTAAGGCACGCCATGTTGTTTCCCAGAATAAACGCAGATATCAGGTGATGTTCGTGTTCAAACTACTAATATACTTTGTGTTTATTATTTGTAAAGCTGATTTTCACAGAGTCTTACTCATTTAAAATAGAAAATATTGTTTCGTTTCTGCAATTGGGAACATTGCTTTAATCCCTTAATAATTGGTTGCCGCTTATCTTTGGGAGCCTATTTATGGATAACTTTTGCAACTTAACAGCTATGATGTAATACAGAATCAAAAACGGTCCAGCCAATTTATTTTTTTTCTTTTCTAAGTTAGATATCGTAGCTGGTGTTGAGTTTATAAGGCCCTGAATTTTGTAGACATTTGCTTATTCCCAGTTATATAGTTTAGTGTTCTGTACGGAGAACATTCTAGTTGGTTGAAAAAACCGTTAGTAGATTTTTATTATTTAACTGTTGTTGTGACTGGTGAGTGCATTGAGTTTGAACTTTTGTATTTCTTTGCTTCATTCTGAATTGTATGTTCCCTTCTCAAAGAACCGGGTTGTTGCATACCCACGTCCCCTTTTATACTCTTTACCTTTAATTTTCAGGAAGGAGGTTTTGATTTAGATATGACATATATCACTGAGAACATCATTGCAATGGGATTCCCTGCTGGTGACATGAGCTCTGGGTTTTTCGGATATGTTGAAGTGAGTTAAAATTCTGTATGTTTTTTTAGCACTGTCTTGATCTTTAACACCACCATTCTGACTATCTAAAATTGTAATGCAGGGATTTTACAGAAATCATATGGAAGAAGTGATTAAGTTTTTTGAAACTCACCATAAGGTAGTAAACAGACTTTGATGCATGAAGTTACTCAGTGTTATATTTATGCCTTTGCTGTAGTCTATGTATAATACAAATCAATGTTGTAGTGTACGGAATGTTGTTTTTGTTTCATTTAAAAATGTCTATTCCATAAATTATTTGTATTTTATTCTGAGTTTAATTTGGTTTATTGGAAGTGAATGCTGCCTATGAACATACAATCACCCCGTCCCTCTAGTTAGGCATGGATTTAGCTCCTGTAAAGTAAGGTGGTTTGGGCTCAATGGTTTAGAGATTTTAATTAGTCTGTAGTTTGTTAAGATGTAACACACATTTTATTATACTGTGTACTGTATACCAGTGGTTATAACTGCATTTTATTGTCTGCAGTGCACTCTTTCACTTTAGAAGAGTTAAATCTTGCTAGGCTTATTTTGTTAGTAATCGGAATATAACCTAGAGGACAGATGGTTGACCACTTGTCTCGGGGTCAAAGGTTGTAAGTTATCCACAAGAAGGCACACGAAAGTGGCTGTGGTGGTAGGGCGGAAACGGAGTTTGTCTGAGTTGCATACAGAAGGTGTGCTGGTTTGAGAAGGATTATTTTTGGTAGGTTAGTTCGAGGAAAGAGCTGCGGATGAATATACTTCTGTTAAGTAAGTTGTAAGGCGAGTGCAAAGATGTTTGTAGGGGCTTTGCCCAGGGAAATGTTAGTTGCGTCTTTTACATTTCTGTTCTTTTTCTACTTCTGTTGACTTCTTTTCATGCCTACATTAATGCTGGTTTGGTCAGGGAGTAAAAAAATTGTTGGTAAAGAAAATTATAAGAAAATGAAGAGAAAGAAGTCTCCACTATTTTAGTTGGATAGAAGGTGAAAAGAAAGAACGAAATATTTTTGTTTGAAGGACAAAAATACTCTCAAGTTGAAAGAGACATGGTCAGATATGAGAATTTGAGGGATTGGATTGGAACTCTAATGAGCTTACATTGATTTATGTGTGGTCTTCTCATACTGGAGAGAAAAGTTTGAAGGTGGATCCCACACCTTCTCTTCTGTTCTTTTTGCTGCCAAACATGGAGAAAAAAAAATCACGGAATACGTGTTTTGTCTTTTTTTTATTTCTCCTCTATCACTGCTATTCCAGAGGAAATCTAAATTTCTATAGAATATCCTGTTTTTACGCTTCAGTGCTGGGTTCCTATCATATTCTCTGATAGCTTAGGATATGTATATGGAACTTGTTTGCTCTTGGATATGATTTGGATTTCCCGGGCCCTTTATTGTGCTCACATTTCTACAACAAAAGGTGATATTAAGCTGCTGAACTTATCTTATACAGTTTTAGCTATTTTAATTTCCCTACTTTAGTTATTGTTGTTGATAATACCATAAGATTGCATCGTTGAATTTGTGATAAGATTATTAAGGTTTATTAGATATAGGCTGAAATTGTGTTGTAATATTTTATCATTGTTATTCTTTTGTTTTATTAGCTGTACACGAGTCCTCTAGAAGTGTCTCTTGGGTGAGAGGATTACATCGTTTTTAAATAGGGAGAGCAAAAAGGAGAGGTATCTCTCAATCTCATGAATAATATCTAAAGAGATTTGGCCTTTAATCAAGGCAAATGGTCTTGTATGATCGATGTAGCCAATCCTGCCTTGTGGGATAAGGTGTTTATGGTTATTGTTGTTGTATTAGTTGTACATAATTAGGGCAATTAGGTTAAACCTCTTGGAATATTCTTTCCCTAAACTTACAAGTTGGTATCATAGCACATGTCAAGTTGCATCATAAAAATTCAACACAACCTTATTTGTTGTGCCATTCAGCCAGTGATCCAGGTTTGTTTGTTGATCCTAATTCTGAAAATCCCTCCATTCATCTTTATTAGAATCCCATTCAGTGGTGTTTTTTGGCCTCATTCTGGCCCAGTTTGATTTCTGAGCATCTCGTTTGTTGTGGCTTTCTGAGCATCTAGGTTGTTTTCGTCCTAAAACCTCACTTTTGTGGCTTACTGTTGTTGTTGAGTTTTTCTTGGGGCTTTCGTGTGGATGTCGTCTAAAAGTGGTTCTGGATCCTCAAATAGTTGTTTTGTGACTTATTAAATCTATTTCACTACAACATTTGTTGGTTGTAACGATTAACTGTCAGACATCCTCAGTAAAGCTCTACCTGGACCAAGGAATACATTCGTGGCAAGCCGAATATATAGATACAACGATACAACTTGTATGCATTGGCTTGAGGGTGAATGTCTGTATTACATTAAGATTTTATTGTTTAGATTTTGAGATATAGGTTGAAATTGTGCTAGAATATTCTATTGGTTTGGTTTTAGTTGTTTCCTTTTACTAGCTGAATATAATCCAGATAATGTCTGATTGTCTTGCAGATCTTGTAATATTCTTTCTCTAATTATGGGAAACCTCTTGTATAAAATTCCTCTCTCCCTCTCTCTATAAGATAGGCTTGTACTGAGACTCTCCTGAGCAATTTTCTGTCAAATGTTTATTCCTTATCCGTTTCAAGTATCATAAAATAGTCTATATTATTACATATTAGCACATGCTTCTTATATTTTCTTATTCTGTCTGTTTCATATTTTATAGCTTGCCAAGTTTCAATTGTATGGTGTCTCTTTTATCAAAAGGCCTCAGTTTGAAACTTAACGAGCCTTTTTCCTTGCTTATCATTTTCTTGTTTAGTTTTGCATTTGACTTTTTTTCTTCGTGTGCAGGATAAATACAAGGTTTATAATCTTTGTTCTGAGCGGTTGTACGATGCATCATTGTTTGAGGGGAAGGTGATTTCTAAATTTTCATTCATGTCTTTATTGAGACAATTGTGATAGACTTGCTTAAGGGTTGTAATTTTTATTTATACACCATAAACTTTTTATCATAACGTCGACATACCACTTTAATTTTAACCTTCAATTTTTGATAGTAGCGTTGAGGTTATCTTTTCTTCAATTAACAATTCATTCACATCCCATCTGCTTGTACTTCTTGATCATGATGCTAGACAACCTAGATTACTCCAAGTTTGTTTTCTGGCCACATTATATTTTTCATGGACCTTATTTGAACAGCTTCTTGTATTCTTGCATCTGAAATTTGAAATTTCTTCTTTTAGGTGGCTAGCTTCCCTTTTGATGACCACAATTGCCCGCCAATTCAACTGATTATATCCTTCTGTCAAAGTGCTTACTCATGGTTGAAACAAGACATTGAGAATGTTGTGGTTGTCCACTGCAAGGCTGGAATGGCTAGGACAGGGTTGATGATTTCTAGTCTTCTATTATTCTTGAAGGTAAAAAATTTCTTGGCATTTTCTTGAAAATATGATGAATGTGCTTGATATTTGCACTTTCTTTCTTGTGCTTTTCTGTTTAGATTTGATGACTAAAATATACTGCAGTTCTTCCCAACGGCTGAGGAGTCGATGGATTACTATAATCAAAAAAGATGTGTTGATGGAAAGGGACTTGTTCTGCCGAGTCAGATTGTAAGTTCTGCTCTGCAATGGGTGAATTAGGTCAAAATTTGGAGATTCTGGAGTTATTACTAGATTTTTAATGTTTTGTTTGTTAGTTCTGCAGTAATTCTTATGGTTTACTGTATTCTGTAGAGGTATGTCAAATATTTTGAACGAGTCTTAACTTACTTCAATGGCGAAAACCCTCCTGCCCGCAGGTATGTACTGGCGAACATGTGACTGTAGCATTTACTTGTCTTAATATTCATACTGACATCATATGTACAGGTGCATGCTTAGGGGATTCCGGCTCCACAGGTGCCCTTACTGGATTAGGCCCTCTGTAACTGTCTCAGATCATAGTGGTATGCTTGACAATCTTGTACTAAAATTTCCCTTAAAGTATACTTGTAGTCCTTGACCATTCTATTTTTAGATTTATAAAGTCATCTTTTGTACTGGTCATTCAATTTGTCCTTCTTTCTATTATGGTGTGTTTTATATAATGTTTAGCTCTATTTTATGCGCACAGATCTTTTAGTATGAACTGAGAAGGCATATCCTCGTTAGGATTTTCATCCGATGACAAAAGCTAAGTTTTTGTTTCTGGGAAAGAGTCCTGACTGATATAAAATCACGGAGAAAGTCCACCTGTTTATGCATGTTCTTTCTTTCTACAATGCGAAGGAATTGTTTGCTTTACTAGTTATGAGTAGTGATAACTAGATATATATTTGCATGACATTATGACCTGCTTTGCTTTTGTCAAGAATTTTACTGCAGCTGATCCCTCTGAAGGTTTGTAATGTAAGATCTTAGTGCCTGACAGACTTCCCTGTTTGATGTCTACTCTAACCCATTTCTGATGTGTAGGTGTGTTGTTCTCAACCAAAAAGCATCCGCGAACCAAGGATCTTATGGTGCGTTTCATTAGTAATATGACATCAGTGTATCAAATATTTGATTGAATTGTTGTTCCAAAGTTATGTTTTTGTTGCCCTCCCATCCCCTCCCCAAGTATGATGGATTTCTGCGTGACTTGAGATTTCACAATTTGCAGCCAGAAGATTTTTGGTTCAGTGCACCAAAGAAGGGAGTGATGGTATTTGCTTTGCCAGGAGAGCCCGGTCTTACAGAGTTGTCTGGGGACTTCAAAATTCATTTTCATGATCGCCAAGGAGATTTTTACTGGTATTAATTAATTTTCATTGTTATTGATCAATTCTCTTCGGCGTTGGTCTTAATGTTGGATTGAAATTTCTTGCTCTTTTCACTCTTTTAGTTGGTTGAACACAACTATGACCGAAAATAGAAAAGTATTGAACACTGGTGATCTTGATGGCTTTGACAAGGTAAGTTTTGTGGTTATTGGTATTAGTAAAAAAATTTATCTGGCTTCTGTTGAGTTCAGCATCTCCATGTCTATCATTCACAATTGGATCTTCTCATCAACTCTATTTTTAATTGATATGAACTTCTGGCAGAGAAAATTGCCTTCTCCAGGATTTATGGTTGAGGTTGTGCTCTTGGACCATAATGCCAATGTAGTAACTTCGCAACCTAAAACTACTTCAACGAAATCAGATGAGAGTTCAAGTAACAGTCCTACTGGTCCTGTGCCAGTAGAAAGGAGCACCCCTTCACAGAATGCAGTCAAAGAATCAGAGAGTCATAATGATAAAGATGATGTGTTTTCAGATGGCGAGGCAGAACAATCTGCTTCTTCAACAACCAAGCAAAAAAACGCACCTTCTGAAGCAGTTGAAACTGTTAAAAATGACACCAGAGGCTCCGACTCCGACAGAATTTCAAATGAAATTTCGAACTTATCGCATGCAACAGAACAAGTTTCTTTGGGAAACAATAGCTCCTCCACGTCAATTCATCACGCTAGTGAGCCAAGAAGTAATGTTGACGGTAAAACAGTGTCCAGTATCGAGGTGCCCAGTGCAGAAAGTGAGTTTAAGGCCATGGCTGCAGATACTTCTGTTTTTACCTTTGGAGATGACGAAGACTACGAAAGTGATTGAACTACCTCAATGTGTCTTTATACTTCGATTTTTGTACATAAAATTGCTTGCAACTTCCACAGCAATCTTTTGGTCATCCATTTGTTTGTTTGTTTGTTGTAATGATAAATCTGGATGCTTCACTGACTTAATGCACAAGTTACAAATAAGAATATTCAGTGTTATTTAATTGCAAACATATATCTTACTCTTGCATTTGACTTCTATCTCAGTATTATATGTCAGATTCTCCTTTTTTTTTTCTCTGAATCCATTCTTCCACCCTAAATGGGGTGTGCGTTTATAATTTATCTTTACTATGGGCAAAATAAAGCTGATATAAGGAACCCTTTTCGCGGTTGATTTTGTAATACTTCCAATTTATATAGCCAGAAATTATACATGCGATAATTATACGTTTTTATTTGTCAATAGATAACTACCTATGCCTGTGGTGACCTAACAATGTGACACCTATAATTTCTAGAATATAGAATACAGCAATAAGTAGCAGATTAAAATTTAAATTAGATAAAAAAATAAATGTATAATAAGTGTAGACAAAATTAAGGTATATGTGAATAATGACTCACTTTTCTTATTGTGATTATTTATTTTTTTAAAACAAAAGTGTAAGTTCCAAAGATTTATCTTTTGATTCGTACCATCTAATTGTTTGAAAATGTATTAAATAAATTAAATGGATGACGTTGTGTATAAGAAAAGTACGCATTGCTGTGAGAAATTACTGCGGCTAAAAATTAAAAGTAATAAAAGTTTATTCTTTTAGTTATTTTAAAGAGTTATTTAAAATAACTATTTATAAGAATTGCTAAATTGAAAAAGAATTGCTGTATGCAGTCCATATGAGATCTCTAAGTTATTATAAATAGTTATTTTAGTTTAAAAGAATTGCTAAATTGAAAAAGAAAAGGTTAAATTGAAAAAAAGAATGATTAAATTAAAAAATAAGTCATTTAAAATATGAAATTGGTAAAATAATAATTTTGATTTTAAAAAAATATTTAAAGAGTAAAGTTGAAAATAAAATGTGAAACTTTTCTTTATATAATAACATAGATGTGTTTGTTTAACTTAAGAAAAATATTTTGACAAATTCTATGTCATCTGTCACATTCTCCTCACTTATTATTATTATTATTATTATATATATATTTGTGAAAATATGAGAACGAAAATAGGTTAAAATTTATGTATGAAAAAATTTAATAATATATAAAAGAGTAAAAATTTGGCAAATTCATTACTCATGAGAGTTAACCCCTATCTTATTAATATTACTTAATTATTTAAATACACACTAGAGTAGGGAATGGGCTGGTCAACAAGGCCCGTGTTGCATCTGTTAGATGTGAGGCTTTTACTTCTTGCAGTCTCTTAAATTTTCATATTGAGAATTTTACTTTCCCTGAGGGTTTCTTTTAGATACATTTCAGAATGTTTAGAATAAAACTTTCGAAATAAAATTTTGATAACAAGTTAACGAAGACAGTACTTATTGTAAATAAAATTAGGCTTAATGAGGTGATAGATAGGTTTAGTAGAGTTAACTACTTATACAAGCTTATAAATGCCAAGGGGACAATAACTTGTAAACTCTATCATACACCTAATTTACCAAAACTCTACTCATTTACAATATTTGATTTACGTTATTCATTTAGACACTTTAATGTGTGTTTTATATCTATAATCCATAGTTTAGGAACATAAAAAATTGCCTGATTAATTAGAAAAATGTTAGTTTAGTTATCCTCCATAACTGAGTTGGTTGACTGGCATAAAAGATTATGCAGAAACTAAGGAAGCATCTTGATAATAAGTAAAATCATTGCTAACTAAGAAAAAAGTAATGGATGATGACAATAATGAGATTGTTATCATGCATTGATTAACAAGTGGATTAGTGTTGCATGAGGAAATTGAATGAGAGGGAAAAGTTTGTGAATAAAAATGTGCGAAAATTTAATTTGGCAGTATAAGAAGTTGGTGTGATGGGTCCAGCTCGGTGTGTGTGCCGTTAGATTTATGCAATTCTGCCCGCCAACTAAAGAAGAAAACCAAAAGCATAATAATGTATTAATATTGCTATTTTGATTGATTTTTTTAAGAAATGTGTGTATAAAAGACAAGCGTGAAACCCACTGAGTTGAAGAAGAATCAATCTCTCCCTTTCACCTTTCTCCACAGCCTACCACTTTTGTTCTTTCTCTGCCTTCATCTACTCTCACATCTTCACTCACTGAGAAAAGAGAGAGTGAGAAATCGAAAAAGGGAGTGATGGGTGTGAGAATGAGTGTTTTCTTTTTATAATGAACAAAGGAGTACACACCCTCTTCTTCACTGAAGAAGATGGCAATCCAGCAACACAATCACCAACTACAACATAACGAAAATGTCTCATCTCTCCTTGATGCCCTTTACTGTGATGAAGCAAAGTGGGAAGACGAAGAGGAGGAGGAAGAAGAAGATGAAGAGAGTGATGTCACCACAAACAACGATGCATGTAACGGACCTTCTCTTTTCCCTCTGCTCTTGTTGGAGCAAGACTTCTTCTGGGAAGACCAGGAACTGAACTCTCTCTTTTCCAAAGAGAAGCTTCAGCATCAACAACTTTACGGCTATAACATTGATGCTAATAACAATAATGATGCTTGTGACAGTACTAACAATAATGTGCGTTTGGACCCTTCTTTCTCTCAGCCTCGTCGTGAGGCTGTGGAATGGATGCTCAAAGTCAATGCTCACTATGGATTTTCTGCTCTCACTGCAACACTGGCCGTTACTTACCTGGATAGGTTCCTTCTAAGCTTCCATTTTCAAAGGGAGAAGCCTTGGATGATCCAGCTCGTGGCTGTCACTTGCATCTCTTTGGCAGCAAAAGTTGAAGAAACTCAAGTGCCTCTTCTCTTAGACCTTCAAGTGGGTTCATCGCAAAGCTTTGTTTCATCCGAGTGTTTTTTTAATCGTTCGTCTTAGGTTGATGTCTCATCAGGTGTTTGTTTATGATGTTATGTTTTCAGGTGCAGGACACTAAGTATGTGTTTGAGGCAAAGACTATTCAGAGAATGGAGCTGCTGGTGCTGTCCACCCTCAAATGGAAGATGCATCCCGTGACCCCACTCTCGTTTCTAGATCACATCATAAGAAGGCTTGGATTGAAAACTCATCTTCACTGGGAGTTTCTCAGGCGCTGCGAGCGTCTTCTTCTGTCTGTGCTTTTGGGTAAGCATTTAAGAATAATGACTATAGCCCTCACTATTTCAGATACCATTATTGAGTTGACTTAAGACTTTTAACTTTTCCATCAGTACAAAGAACGAATGAAGATGTTATTGTGTTGATTTTCTCATCATCTGGTGTGTGTGTGTGTTTTCTTATGTGTAGATGCGAGATTTGTTGGGTGCCTTCCTTCTGTTTTGGCCACTGCAACAATGCTGCATGTTATAGACCAGATTGAACACAGTGGTGGGATGGAATACAAAAATCAGCTTCTGAGTGTTCTCAAAATTAGCAAGGTTAGTGCCTAGATAAGGATGTCTAAGTGTTAATGTTTGTTTATCAACATTGCTCCTAGTCCATGATTACGATTAAGAACACGATTTGCATGTGCATGTTAGATTAAGAGTAAATAAAAGCCGACAGTGTCATTAATGCACATAATAAGCACTTTATTTGATCCTAGTTACTGTGCATTTTAACAGGAGAAAGTAGATGAGTGTTATAATGCTATTCTCCAACGCTCAAATGGCAATAGTTATGGTCATAACAACAACATTTACAAACGCAAGTATGAGGAAATTCCAGACAGCCCAAGTGGCGTAATTGATGCTGCATTTGGCTCTGATGGTTCCAACGATTCGTGGGCAGTGGGGTCATCACTATATTCATCACCAGAGCCTCTGTTCAAGAAGAGCAGAACCCAAGGACAACAAATGAAATTGTCACCACTTAATCGGGTCATTGTCGGAATTGTTGGCACATCTCCTTGATACCCCTTTTTCTCTCTTTCTTCCAAAACCAAAATAAAAGAATGTCTTATATTTATTTACTGTGGTAATTAATCTTTCCATTGATGTTGCTAAACTATAGTGTCTTCCCCTCTATGTACCTCTTCATTTCCAACAATGTTCCACATTTGTCTACATCTAGCGAAGAGGAAGAAGTGGTCTCAGAGGGAAGAAGAGGAGGACAAAGTTGGCAATGAAGGATGGTGACTATCATCGGCTCTCTATAATATATATTTCAAGCACTTTTTTTTAGTTCAATGGGTCTCATATAGACCATACCAAATTTGGACATATTTATATCATATTTTCTATAATAAATTGGGAACAATTTTGTTCATGTGTATATGCTCTTATTCATTTCCCTGTGTGCTTGAATTGAATGGTTACATTACACGATAGAAGGATGGATAAGATTCAGAAACGGTCCACCCTAAGTTTTTTACCATATGTTATATCTTTTCTTATTAAGTAGTTTTGTGAGGAAAAAACCAGTGAGACAGAACAAAATGAGAAGGGTTTTTGGGCAGATTAAGAAGAGGGTTTGTTTGCATGTGAAGGGAGAAGTAGTTTGTCGGCCAGTGGGGTTTTTGGTCATAGGGGAGGGGGCGGGTTTCTTGATTGGGGGATTCAGTCTTTTGACCTCGTAACAAGGGCCAAACCCTTGGTCTTATTATATTCAACTCGTCCTAATAATCTACTATAACCTAACCTACTTACTCAAAAACTTCTTCTACTGCTACTACTGTTCATTGTTCATCAGGCCTAGTAGCTATAGCTACAAGCACTTCGATAAGGGCCCTTGGTCTCATATGTCCCTACTTAATTATACATGTATTTTGTTGTCTTTGCATGTCTTTATTCAGTGGGTTATTAGAGTAAGATAGCATTAAATAAGCATTTTGTACGTTGGAAACTTCAAAGGAGTTGTCACTCTGCAACAATATTTATTGCATTCTCTTCCTTCTGCACAATCTTAGAGGCATGTAAGGCCGAACATGCTATCTTAATTTATTTTGGTTTACATGACTTATCGACTGTGGTCAGCTCCTGTGCATCTCTGCCAATCCAGCGCAATATAATTTAGATTGTAGCGTTGCTCTACTTTAATCAATTAAATTCAAATTCTCAAACGTGATCACCACTTC